CCTCCTCATGCGCGAGTCTCTTCGGCGGCGCGCCGTCGAACCCCCCCCCGCTCCAGGTCGCGCAGGCGACGCTGAGGGTGGACTACTCCAGCGGAGACCAGGCGGGCCCGCGCCCCGCCCGACCCAGCGAGGTCGCTCGAGCTCAACCACTGCGGTCAATGCCAAGACCCCCTCTGGCACGGCTGAACGACGACGACGCGCTGCTCCGTCCCGAAGCCCCACCCGCCCGCGATGCGACTCAGCCCAGCGCGATGGCGCCCCGCCCCGCCAGGGCCCCCCACCCCCACCCGCGGCGGGCGGAGGGGGCCGCGGGAGGGGCGGGCGCTTTCGACGCGAGGGGGCGCCCACCAGCAGGCAAGGGTTCGGGGCTATCCCACGGGCGCGCCGACGCGGTTCCCACCTGGGCACGGCCCGCCTCCGCCGAGCCTGGACCGTCTATGTTCCGTTGCCTGCGCCGGCCGCGCGAGCCTGGCCCCCGGCCCGACGAAGTTGCGCGGAACGCGCTGCCACGCGCCGCCCGCCGACAGCGGCCCGTCCCTGCGCGGGCCCCCCGCCCCGACAAGTTGCGCGGGGCCCCACCGCTGCTGGCGCCCTCGCGACTGCCTCGTCACCGGCGCCCTTCCGTCCCGACGGGCCACGTGGACGCCGCCGCCGGCGCCCTCCTCGGCCGCCTGCCCTCCCTCGGACGGTCTCGTCGGACTCCGCGGAGCTCGAGGAGCTCGATGAACCCTCCGAGCCCTCGCCCTCGCTCTTCGCGGCCCCCGCCGTCGTCTCGGCGGAGACGGGGCGGCGGCATCTCTGGCTGACCACGTCGCACTCCCTCGGGTTCGGCACGTCGTCGAAGTAGGTCGCGCTCAGCGGCGACCTGCCAGGCGCCCAGCCGCGGCCCCGCGCACTTCGGAGCCCGGCCACCTTGCTCTTCGTCGCGTACGATGTAGCTGCTGGCATCCTCGGCGCCATTGCTCTCAAGGGGGCGGGCGGGCTGCCGCTCTGCCTCGCCGTCGTCGACGCTGTTGTGGTCGTTCCCAGCTCCCTGCGTTCTTCGCGGGGGCGTCGCTGCCCCCGTCGGCGGCGCGGCGCCCTCCTCTTCTCCGTCTTCGACGGCGGCCTCTGGAATCACCGCCCCCCTCGTCGTCTTCGGGCGCCGCGGCCGCCCAGCCGGCGCAGGCCTTAAGGCGCGCTCGCCCAGCTCCCCGCAAGCCCCCGCGGAGCGCAACGCCTTCGCGACGAGCTGGAAACCGACGGCGCGGCGCGCTCTCGCGCAGGTGCCCGCGCCTTCCAGCGACCACCTGCCCAGTTTGTCGCGCATGTTCTTCGGGGTCCCCATCGTGGCAAGGCCGAAGGAATTATCGCCCGCTCCGAATGCCCCGACAAGAAGCTCACGACCTCCTCGGGGACAAGAAGCTCAGCCTCCTCGACCGCGCAGGACGCTGGCTTCAACATCCTGCCGAACACCTCCTGGCCCGCTGCCGCCGCCGCTGCGTGCCTGACGCGCTTGCGGGCCACCCCTTCTGCCCTGCGTCATCGAACCATGGCAGGAAGTGGTCCCTCTCGAATACCGCGATCTCCTGCCACAGGTCGAAGCCCGTCTGTACCCATGCTGGGCCCAGCATGTTGCATTCGCGGGATGCTACTAGCGGCAGCTCCAGCATCAGGCGCCCCGTTATGCTAGCCTTCGCGCGCCCCAGCGCGGCCGTCAGCCCTCCGCCCACGATGGCGAGGCACTGCGGCGGGAGCCAGCTGTGGTTGTCGACGAGGCGGGGCCACGCCACCGCGCGTAGGTAATTCGCGAGGCCCTCGTTCATGACCAGCGGTTCTAGGGCCTTAGTGAACGCGTTGGTAAACCGTGCTGCCCTTGTTTTCGGTCCTTTGCCAGCACCATGGAGCGTCCCCACGTTCGCGGCGACATGCTTTGCCTCGGGCCGAGCGCAGAGTCTGCATTTCTGGTCCACGCCTGCCGCGCGCTCCGTTCACACCATGGCGCGAGGCGCCTGGTTGGGCACCGTCTGCCCGCGCGGCTCGGCAGCCCTGATGACACGTAGTCGACGAAGTAAGTGCACGGTCGTCTCGGGCCACGGGACACCGTGCGACCGCAAGAGCCAAGAGCCACCTGCGCATCGTCTCAGTGGCTCGCACGTGCGGCCTCACCGTGTTGATGCGCGTCTGACCCGTGGTGCCGTCCCTTGCTCGCTCCGGGTCCATGCAAGACCACGCCGTCTCCAGCGAAGGCGCCCCAATTTCTTCGAGCAGCGTGACCAGGCGAAGCTCCCAGCGAACCCGCTTTCGTGCCTCCAGCCCGCGACGGTTCTCCTCTGCTGTCTTCGGCTGGCCGCCGCCACGACGTTCGCCACGGCGTTATCCAGCATGGCCAATTTCAGGGCACCCACGGAGCTCACCCAGCCGCCTCTGCACTGGCTCCTCGGCCACCGCCTGGCCCACGAACTCAATCAGCGGCCGCCGTGCCTCCTCCACGCTGATGTCCGCGGCCGCCGCTGCCTGTTCGAACATTCCGTTGAAGTCGAGCTCGCCCGCCTGGAACGTCAGGCGTGGGCCGAGGAGATCGGAGTCATGAAGCACTTTGCTGACCCGCCGCCGCGTGGAGTGGGCGCATGGCCCAAGGGCCAGCATCTGCACCCAACGGTTAATGATCTTCTATAGCGGTACACACCTTTACATACATACATACATACATACATACATACATACATACATACATACATACATACATATATATATATATACATAGATATAAACAGTTTGCTACATCTATAGATAGACCTGTACAGATGTATACACGTGTAAATATACATGTACGTATGTTTATCGATAGAGAGGTTAACAAGAAATAAAAACACAACCATAACATAACGAGCGCTTGAACCGAAATGGCCACAAACGTCGGGCAAAGAAAAGGGATAATCTTGCATGATGGCAAACGGGGGCGATCGTCTCACGCTCGCGAGCCGGACCCGAAGAATGCCCACGTGGACGAGAAGCGGCGGAGCCACACGCTGCCTTCAAAATTCCCGATCGCGGTTCAATGGTCATGCTGCTGCCCCCGAGGCGAGCCATTCTGACCAGGACCTCGAGGCGAATCCAGCCGTAGCGACGAGGGCCTCCCAGGAGGCGGAAAAGGGACAAGACGGGCGAAGGACAGCTGTATGGGGGAGGAGGAGGAGGAGGAGGAGGAGGAGGAGGAGGAGGAGGAGGAGGAGGAGGAGGAGGAGGAGGCACCTGTTCCTCCTCAGAGGTCCTCTGGGCGCAAGGCTTCACGATCTCCCGAGCGTCGGGGGTCACCAGCAGCTTGACGCCAGGATCCCGCCTCTCCGGGCGGGCCCGCCCCCGCGCGCGGTGGGGCCACCTCGGTCCGTGGCTGCCCCGATGTTCATAGCGCAGCCACGGGGTATGTCTGGCAGGATGCGCTCGCCGAAACGTGGGCCAACACGTGTCCAGCCACCACGCAGCGTGTTTGACCCGGGCGTTCTGAGCGCGGCGGGTGTCGTGTTGCAGCGCGGGCGCAGCCGGGCAGCCGAGGTCTCGCGTCCCTCTCCCTCCATCCGCCCGCCCCCCCTGCCGACATCCCCCCTCCCTCTCCGTGCATCCTCCTCCCTCGTCCCCCTCCGTATCCTCATCCTGGGCTCATCCTCACATCTTTGGCGTCACGGGCTGAAGCGCCTCTGGCGCTGGCAGATGAGGACGCTCATGCGACGTGCGAGCAGTAATCTCCTGCGCCTCATGCATGAACCAACTTCGGGCAGGCGTCGGGCAATTCACACGTGCACTCCTCCAGCACAATGGCATCCGCGAGGACAGACGAGACATGCGTGTCCATGCAGTTCCCTCCCATGGCAAAAGCAGTGGCAGAAATCCAGGAGGGGCTAAGAGACAACCACAATCGCTGGGCTGAGGGGCACCCGCCAGCGGTAAAAACCTGCGCGCCGCGCCCGGTTCTGAGGGGGCGCCAGGGCAGATTCCCGCAGCCCCGCGGTCGCGGCTTCCTCTGCTTCGCACGTGTGCGATGACTCTGGCTCTCCCCGCACGCTTCCGCGCAGCCAGCCGCGGCGCAAAGCAGCACCAGCCCGCGTGACGCCGCCAGATGAACAGATGGTTCGTGGTAAAAATTCCTGAGCCCGAAACAGTTTGCCAACTCTGGGGGCGCCAAGTTTTGCGTCCGCCGGCTTCCACCGTAGACGAGCGCACTCCACTGCTCGCAAAGTAGCTGCTCGCAAATGGCCTGGATCCTTCGCAGGGGATTCACGGTACATGAAGCCGAGGGAAACGCATGGTTGTGCGGACGGTTGCGAGTAGGCACTCTGCAAGTGGCGGAACGCGCTCGGTGACACCAGGCTTCCGCAGGCCTCCGCTGGCGGAGCCACCCAGGGCTTACGTCTGCCAGGTGTCGCGGGCCTGCCGCCAGCTCCCGCCGAGGAGCAGCAGGGCTGCTCCTTGGGTCCCTCGAGCGCGAGGCCCCTTCTCTGGAGCACCCCCTATGAGAATGCGACCTTCACCCAGCATTTTGAGGAGCTGGCGCACCCATGACGTATCCAGCTCCATGCTACACGGGAGGTCCAGTATGCTTGCTCTTGCCCTAAATGCGGCGGCAACCAACCGAGGAGTAATGATTTCAGATCTTCCTTCTTCTCATCCTCGTTCTCCTCCTTCTCCTCCTCC